ATTGCGGTTGCTTATATTTGAAGATATACGGCAAGTATAAAAACTTTATATTTATATACAATCTAAATTTTTAAAAGAAAAATTATTTTCCTGCATTTAAGCAAATATTGAGTAGTTAGTTAAGTTCCTTTTCTGGTTTTGTGCGATGACGTCGCGCAGCTATCTAGTTACACAAGTAGGCGTTAATGAGAAAAAAGGGTTGATCAAGAATTTATTGACTAAGTTAAAAAAAAAACACAGCTCAAGTTATAACTCAAACAACCAAGATTTTATATTTATCGAAACAGTATTAGGAATTATAATCAATGAAATCAAAGCAAAATTTGCATATATGCATTTAAGATATATAATTTTTTATTTATATCCAAGCCGATATAAGACTAACTCATCTTAACCAAAGTTCCATCTCTGATTTCTAATTGTAATTCATAAATACCATATCATATTTCTTATTCATAAAGTTTAAAGATATTTCATGTTCAGATTTAGAAATAATGATTTTCCTAAAAGTAACATAAAATTGATTCTTATAATCCTTTTAAATTTTTCCGATCATCTGTCAGCGAATATCAATATGCTTTGAAAATATCATAATGTGTTGGATTTAACCTTGCAGAAAATTTTGGAAAAATATACCGAACAGCATACACGTGACTTAATGAACAGCAAATGGCCAGCATTAAACAATCGGTGCAGCATGATCGGTATTATAGTTAGTATTAGCGTTGGAATTAGTCGTGTGTGTGCTGTGTCAATATATGTTCCCAAAATTTTAATCTGGTGCATGATATTCAATGAATATTCGTTAATTCACTTATGAATATTCACTCAATATCATTTATGGATACTAAAACCCACGAATATTTATTGAATAGCCACAACAGTTATTCAAATGATCACAACTCTATTAATAAAGGTACAGTACCGCACATCTTGCTATAATTTGGTGGTTCGAATTTTCAACAACAAATAGAGACTTCAAAATTTAAAAACAACATTATTCTTAAAAAGAAATATACAATGTTTTCTCTTAATTAGATATGGTTAGTTGAATCGTCAATTCAATTAATATGTATTTATTTCTTTTCAGTAAGATTTTCACATCAAAAACAGTATGATAAATTATAAAGGTGTAAATATAACATGATAATGAGTTTGTATGAAACTGCTCCAATCAGCATAAATAAATAAATAAATTATGAAGATATATAAGTTATAATATAAATAAAAAAATCAAATTTATATAAATGATTCATTATAAAGAATAGGAAATGGTTTTCTTGGTTATATTCAAGAATCTAATTTGCTAAATGTTTTACTAAATCCAATAGATTTTGAACCTATGAAAAATTTACTAAATCTAACGGATCTTGAACCTATAAAAAATTTACTAAATCTAACGGATCTTGAACCTATAAAAAATTATAAATTAGTATTATATCGAATCAAATAAAAGATAATATAAATAAATTATTACCTTTACTGTACAGTTTCATAAAAGTTGATGCATTTGATGGTTTTGAACTTGTGGTATCAAAAAGTCTACTTGTATAAATTGCTTTAGAATTTAATTTGTAAGAAGGAAGTGTTGATGTCGGTAAAATAAATTTATCATAAGCATTACTTATTGACCATTTATTGATAATAGTAAATAATTGCTTAGATGTTGGCCTTTTTTTAGGATCAGCATCCCAACATTCCTCAATTAATCTAGTCATTATTTTTGGAACATTTGATGGAATTTTTGGACGTTTACCTCGACAAATTTGTAATGCAAGACCACTATCATGTGGAATATTATGATATGGCGGATAACCAGTTATTAATTCCCATGCTACAATACCAAAAGAGTATACATCTGATGCCTTAGTATATTCTTCTCCACATAAAACTTCTGGTGCAACATAAGGTAGAACTCCAAAAATTTTTTCAGTTTTTGAATTTGATTTTTGATTTTCTTGTTTGCATAAACCAAAATCTGAAATACTTAAAAATCCACTAATAAGCAAAAGATTACCTGGATGAAAATCTTGATGAATTAAATTTTTTTCATGTAAATTATAAAGTCCTTTACTAATTGACCATAATATCCGACCTTTTTCATCTGCATCCAAATTATTAGCATTCATATATGCACGAAGACTACCTGATGTTGCATATTCCATTACTATCATATAATTATTTGTTTTAGAATCTTGAGTAATACCTAAACATCTAATAAAATGTGGATCATCAACTACCTCAATATTTGATTCGATTTCTTTCAAAAGATCAGGAATTGGATCTATTGGATTATTTATTGTTTTTAATGCTACACTCTGAAATCCTACACGAATCCACTTTTGATCATTTATATCCCAACCTCTAATTTGTCCATCTTGCCAAATTGCTGAATATACAGACCCAAACCCACCTTTTGTCATAAATTTTACAAGGCGTAATCTATTAAATGGAATCCATTCAATAACTTTATATGGTCTATCTGCTACAAGTTGTAATTTTTGAATAAAGCCATCTATTTTCGTATTATTACTAGTCCAATTTTTAAAATTATTTTGAAACCGGCTTGAATTACATGGTTGACACCACTTTGTTGATATACAATATATTTCTACACAAGGTTGATTACATTCATCACATACTTCTGTCCCTTTTGCTATTTCTGTACTAGTGGCAAATTCCACATCAAGATCCCAATATTCACATTTTTCTACATCGCAATTCCAATATAAATAATCATCCATATTCCAATCTGTGTTAAGATGATAGTTATAGAAGTCCGTTCTACTCGGATCTATATTGCATACAAAATAATCCAACCCAAATAAACTATATGGATGTATTTTTAATGCCTTCTAATGCCTTTTCAAGAAATATAAAAGCTTCTTCGTATTTTTCCATATTATAATAAGTCTCTCCTTTCATAACTAATATCCATGCATCATTTGGATATTTTTTTAATACTTTATTTAAATCTTCAAGTGCTTCTTCATATTTATTTAACATCCGATAAATTTCTCCTCGAGTTGCTAAAGCATCAATAATATTTGGATTTATTGCCAATGATTTGTTCATGTCTTCAAGTGCTTCATGATATTTTTTCAACATTCGATAAGCATCACCTCGACAATATAACACAAATGCATTATTAATGTCAATTTCTATTAGTTTGTTTAAAATTTCTAATGCTTTGTTATAATCTGCAATTGATTCATCATGTTTATTCATTGTATAACGATAAACCCAACCTCTAAATAAAAATGCATCAAAGTCATTTGGACAATTTTTTAAAAATTTGTTAAAATTGACAAATGATTTTTCCATTTTATCCATATTATAATAAATTATTCCCTGATCAAATAGTGTAAATATATAATTTGGTTCTATTTCTTGTAATTTGTTTACATCTGCAAGCGATTCTTTCCATTTATACATTTTACGATAAGTTTTTCCACGAGATCTCAATGCTAATACATTATTTGGACTAATTACTAATGATTCATTTAAATCTGTAAGTGATTCTTTATATTTATCCAAATTCCGATATATTGATCCTCTAATTCTTAACGCAAATGAATTATTTGGTTCAATTATTAATATTAGGTTTAAATCTTTAAGAGCTTCATCATCTTTACCCATCATATAAAAAGTTTCAGCACGAATTTTCAAAGCATCTATGTTATTTGGTTCAATTTCTAATGATTTATTTAAATTTGCAAGCGCTTCATAATATTTTCCATTTTTAAGATAAATTTCACCATTGCCTCCTAATTCCCATTTATTACTGGGACTAATATCAAATGGGGTTTTGAAATATATAAGCCATTCTTCACATTTTCCCAATACACGACAAGTGGCCCCATGATTTCTCAAGGTAAATAAATCATTTGGATCAATTTCTAATAATTTAGTATAATTTGAAAACGCCTGTTCATATTTGTCAATCAAATTATAAATTTCTTTATTATTTGTTATTATAAATGCGTCTTTTGATTCGATCTCTAATGATTTATTGAAATCGGCAGATGCTTCATCATATTTACCTAACTTATAAAAAACTTTCCCACGATTTCGTAATGTAAATGGATTATTTGTTTCAATTTTCAATGATTCATTTAAATCTGTAAGCGATTCTTTATAATTTCCCATTGCACAATAAATTTCACCACGTTGTCTTAATGCATGTGCATTTTTTGGGTTAATATTTAATAATTCATTCAGATTTGCAAGTGAATCTTCGCAAGCTTCCATTTTAAAAGCGATTTCAAAAATAGCTTAATGAATTTTGTATGATAATCTGAAAGAAGGAATATTTAAAAGAATGTGTTGGAGACAAATAATTACCCCTATTTAATTTTGACCGGTCTGCTTTGCCATATAAATTTATGCGGTGTAATGGTCTTTCTGCATTTG